CATCATCATCATCATCATCATCATCATCATCATCATCATTCAATCCATTGATCGATCAATCACCTTTCTTCAGTCAACAACATGGATCAGTTATAATCATCATTCATAATTTATCATCATATTACACAATTACAAAACATAAGATCATCATCATCACTTGCATCATCCTCACACAATTACACATCATAATAATCTTTTATCGTTCTTTATATACAATCATCATCATATCATTACACATCATCATCATCATCATCATTCAATTAATCGATCAATCAATCCTCATCAGCCAACGTATATCTTGTATCCCTAATTATCATCAATCATTAATTCATCATCTTTATCATTATCCTCATATGATTACACATCATTATCACGATTACTTATCCTCATCATTGATCACTCAATAAGTCATTCTTCATCAGTCGTTCATTCAGATATGATGAATTAATTTCATAAAAAAANAGAGAGAGAGGGGGGGGGGATTATTAAAGTTTTGAGCACAAGCTTATGAATAAATGAAATAGAAGAAAATTATTGATTCTATAATTTATTTCAAGCCCAGGAGACAGATATCAGAATATTATTTTTACAAAACAAGAAGTTTTTCCCATTTTTTCCCATTCCTTTTCAAACTTCTCTCTATAAGTGTCTCCTTTGCTATTTGCTATAAATCTTTGTATATTATGGTAGTATTTTATTGTGTTAACCAAAGCATTTAGCATTCAGCTATGAAGACAACGCATTTTATATATATAGTGTTTAATTATAATGAGTATCTTATTATCAATTCTACCATTCACATTTTGTGTAAAAAGTCCAAATAGATAAGATTCTTTAATGAAATCAAAAGGAATAATGAGTGCATCTAAAATAATTTCAAATCTAAGAAGAAGATTCTAAACCTCTTGACATTCCCATAAAATATGGGTAATAGTTTCAATATCCGAATTGCATAGTGTACACATAGAGGATACAACTATTCGAGTGTTAATAGGAAAGAATATGTTGTCAGAATATGGTGATTTATTCTATACTGAAACCACTGACATTTTGTATTAGAAGTTATAGCAAAAAAAAAAAAAAACTGATGACAAGAAAAGTTACTAAAATCAAAGACTCTATTCCATGTCTTCGGTCCTGATGGAACAACGCTATTTTTTACCAGGATACTATAAAAATGTTTGGAACCTTTAGACGTTTTAAAGAATGGTTCTAAGTGTACAGGAATAAAGGGAGATATCAATTTCAATGTGTCAATCTGGAGTAGAGTTGAAATGTTTTACAGCAGAAAGAACACTGTGATAGTGGAGAAAATGAGTCTGTATTTGATAAATTTGAGTGAATTCATGAACTGTATAAAAGGAACCAGAATTATAGTCTGTTATCAGGTCATTTATATTAATAACTTCATTTTTATACCAATCCTTAATGAAAATTGATTTTCCATCAATAGTAATTTTGTCATTTAATCATAAAGGGGTCTTCAATTATACCTCATTTTTGTTAATATTTATTTCATTTGCCAGATGCAAGTTTTTACATTTATTTTCGCATAGCTTTATATAATCTGAATCACAATTTGCCAACATGTCTATGTTAGTGAGATAAATAAATGATTAAATTGTGAAACCAAAATTGATTTTATTATGAATATTTTACCAATTAGTGTTAATAACCTCCTATTTCATGATCTGATAAATGATTTAGGTTTTGTAAGTATTTTTATCAAAGTTCAGTTTAGGTATCTCATGTACATTAATGTAAAATTCAATGCCAAGAAGTGTGAAGTTTTCCCTACCCCATTGGAAGTCAAGTTCTGGAAGGAATTTATCTGAGCTTAATTTGTTATTGCCAATCCAAACCACTTGATTTCTTGAAATAATAATCTTTAATCCTGATATCCTGATGTAGAAATTAAGCTCAGTAAAAGTTTCCTGCAGTGATCTTGCTGTACCATCAAGTGCAAGTGCAGTGTCTTCTGCATATTGTGATAGAAGTATAGGACAGTTATCAACATTAATACCCTTAATGATTTTCTTAATGTTTCTTAGTTTTATAGCTACAATTTCAGCACCAGAATATATTTATAGTGAGCAATCGGTTCCCCTTGACGACAGCCCCTTTTTACTTAAAACAATGAAGACAGATTCTCTCCCTGATTAATAACAGCACTAGCACACTCGATTAAGCAAAACACTCACTGTAAATTATCCAAAAGAAATGACACAATCACAAATACAAAAATGTACACACACTGTCCAAACACTGCCGTGATATCGGTAAAACCAGGGTACTTCCTGGCGGCACAATCGTCCTAGCCCATTACCGATCACCATGCACTTAATACTCATTTTACACAAAGTTGGAATCTTCTATAAGAAAAACTGTCTGTGAGTTGTGTGCAAAACTGGAGCCTTCTCTTTCTACCATCAGTCAGTATAGAGAAAAGCTTACCGTCCGTACTGTATGAGTTGTTCACACACTTCTTTGTGAGATCCTCGAAAACGGTTTATCCAGTTTTTTGGGTGGACTTTGATGACCTCGTTCCTTTTTCGTCGATACGTAAACTTGACGATGATGTTTCTCGGTCTTTTCCAGTTAATCTTTCCAAGATGATGAGCAATGTCAATATCCCCACTAGTAATATGCACCTCAAGTTTCGAAGACACAAGGTTCACGAATTTGTCCACACATTCCACCAAGTCTCTGAATCAGATGTGTCCTTAAGTCCGTTCATTCTGAGTGAATTATTGCTGCTCCAAATCATTATGACGTGCCTCGATAGCGTCATTAGAACACTGGAGATCACCGATTTGGGTCTCCAGGTTTTAAATGGTCATACGGAGATTCTCATTTTCCATTTCCAGTTCGAACACTCTCCCTTTGAGTTCTTCAACCAGTTATATATATGTTCCTCTCGTATGGATTATTTTAACTTCTCATCTCGGAATCTAAGTCTGCCTTTGTTCTGAGTGAAGTTAACAAGGATGAAATCTCATCGGGTCTGTCCTCAATATTCTTATCCGCTGGCCTGGTCTTCCACTGAGTATTACGTATATCAAGTCAACGTATACAAGTCCATATAGCTATAGTAGAGTGTGCTGTGATCAGTAGTAACTAGGTAGGGTATCAGGCCATTGTCCTAACTCAAAACGTCCAAAATACACATTTCCACCGAAAATTCCAAAAAACAGATACTGATAAGGGATAAACTTTCAACTTATGTAGTATGTAATTCAAAAAATATAATACAAAACGTGTAATAATATAACAGAAAACCCTTTTTTTTGTCGGAGCTCCAGACAAAGGACTACCCAGGCCAAGCGTGACATTGACACTCCTATACATAGTAATAATAAACAAGTCTGAATTGTAAAGAGGGCAATACCAGAAGTCGTCCCCTAAACGGACCCTTTTGTCACAAATGGTGCATTAGATAGAATGTCCGATGCCATATTGCAATTACATAATATTTTTTGGCAAAATTAGAAATAGTAAGGGACCATTAGCATATATTTGGCCTCAACCCATAACTATGTCAATCGTTTATAAACCACAGCGACCATGTTTCATTACCGATCGAAAAATGAAACTGTTAATACATAAAACGTGCTAAACGTACCCTTATTACTAAAAACGTGATTGGCAAATAGAAAAAAACTGACTTTGTTTGTGAGCATCATTGTACCTGAACAAGCCCCGCTACTTCTGGCACATAGTGAGTATCGACAGTGTGCCGGACAAGTCTGCTTACAGTCAATGCCATAAAACCCGGATGCACATTCTAAACACAATTAAACAAATACATGTTTGATGTTTCGTTGCAGTAATTATATATACGTTCACAAAATTGTTTTAATTTATTATAGCAATTATATTTGCCTTGCTCTAGTAAAATACGTCCTTTTGTTATTTGATATATTTAAATTGTGTTTTAATAATGTACATTTAAAGTAACCTCTTGACGTATGATATCAAGTTTCTTACTGCGATATAGTTTTGCTATACCCCAAAATTACTTACTCCGTCTGTTTTACTATGCCAAAAACGTAATATTCCATACGCTACAAAACATTATCTCATGCAGTCACGTCTCAGCGATACATAAACAGAGAATGTCTTTACGTAAGATCCTAATTATATCTTTCTGAACACATTTTAACCGTCTCAAATAGAATGTATCTTGTTAAACAAAATTCGGGATTAATGGACTAAAAATGCTATTGAGATATCGGTGATGGCTTTCGTTAAGAACGTTTTGTTATGATTGTACACCATGTATGATCACCATTAAATGTCCTAAATGTATTGCTATACACACTTAAAACGGATACTTAATGCAACAGAACCTAGATGTTACAGTAGTCAGTGCAATAAAGGATAGATATCCTAATATTTAGAATTAATGCTTTTTGTATGATTAACCGACTATTTCACGTTTCAAACTAATAAATAGGGAAAATATAATTATATGATTTTACTTCTGTCAATTACCTTAAATATTACCATACCTGTACATAACCCACTGGTCTGATAACATATATCCCTTTCACAATTAGACGGGCAGCTTGTGTTGCAGGTCATCACCAAAATAGCCAGGTCTCCATGCCTAAATAACAACATCAGCAGTCATTTGAGACTAAATAAATACATCATTCTCTTTACTTTACCAAAACAAAACGATAAATTAGGCATATGTTCAAACAAGAAGTACAAGACAAAGCTGGCTTGAATAAAACATAAATACGATTTTACATTTGTATCTCTTTTCAAATAAGTATACAATTGCATCGTGTTCTATCTTCAATTTCATTAAGAAATTTAGTCAATCATAGCAAATTTGAACAAATAATTATAAAACATTACTTTGGGCACACAAAACGAAGATCTCAATACCTCGGATTAGATATTTTGAAATGATTTAAATAATGTTCTTGCCCTTGAGCGTTTTATTATACATGCACAGATAACAGAGAATACATCAAAACAAATTTCAGCTCAAAGTAATTTCAATGACAAAGTCACCAAACCTGTCCATGTCCCCTCGTATTGTGTACATGTGTTGTTTTCACAACTAGAAAAGCATAACTTCATTCCATAGATGCTGTTAAATTGCGCTAAAAGCAGTCATGCATCATAAAAAGGGCTCGTCATTAGACGCATCTTACGAGATATATTTGAATAAATCATGTCACTTTTTACCCCGTATCTATTCAGGTTAACCGTTTTCATAACCTATATTTAGTCTAGGTATACTTCTCTCAAAGCTGCGTGGGGTTTTAGAGTATGACGCACATATATACAGTGTGCAAAATGAAGAAACGTTAGACCAGCACATTCCTGATGAATGATTTCAACTTGCATTTCTATTCAACAATTATATTAGTTTATATAGGAGAGTTATTGAAAAACATCGGTTTATTTTTTTTTTAAACTGGTTCGATTTTAGGACATGTTAATCTACCCACCCTTCAATGAAATACTAACAAAGCATGTTATCGTTCAAAGTTAGAGAGTCATCCCTATCCATGGTTTAATGAAACAGAGCTAAAAAGAAGACATGGAATGTGAGTACGTCTATTTCCACTAAATTGGTGTTTGGAATTTATTCATAGTTTATCGTGTTCTAGATTACCTATCTTGATTCGCAAAGATCATGTCAATTTTACCGAAAACGGAAAAAGCCAATAGCTCTGCAGGTTACACCTATATACATGTTTCCCTACGTTGTAATATGGCTGCAAATTATACACCATTAATAAAATTTGCACATCCTTTTAATTTTAGTAAACATTATAAACAAATCAAAATGGGATCTTTAACAGTAGCGTGATTTTTTTATGCAAAATTGATATGTATTGTCTATGTTAACATAACAAATACAATATATGAAAAATAAATAATTTCCTAAATAATCCTCAATACATGTAACACATTTTAAACATTTTTTTTCATACTTTCCACTGATACATACCTTTACACACTCCATTGATTTGCATACATCGGTTGTCTTTACAGTTGAACAAGCAAGTCTGATTGCAATTGCTTCCATAATACCCGGGAGTACACGCTTTCATGGAAAATCACAAAGAACAAGTCAGAATCCGAAAACAAAGTTAAGAAGCTATATTTTCCTTATCTACGATTTAGGTCTTTAATTGTCACTGAGAATGTGATTGCACTCAATGGTGCTCGAAACATGTATATTTTAAAATTTATATATTGTGAACCGAATCTGATTAATTTATAATAAAATAATGCAATTATAACATGACATCATTAAGTTGATAATGTATATCAGCAACAAATACCTCCGAAGTGATATTATTGTAAAACCAGAACGAATGTAAAAAGAAATATTAATTCCATATCAATGGTGATATAAACTAAAGTATATCGAATCAAACGCCTTATTTAGTCTTTAGCTTACAGTTCTATTTTATTTAGGAGCAGGGGTATTTGTTACATTTCTAGTCATTTATTTATTTTGCGTATTGCCCATTCATTAAACAACATTTGAAGGAATATTACAATATTTGATATCGTCAACTTTAAAGAAATAAAGCAAGGACAGATATTCTTGTCTGACTCCCCATACAACAAGTTTATCTCAACACATTTATATTGTGTGACATTGAACGAAAGACAAATGCATCAACGTTTACAAAACTTATTTCTATTCACATGAACAACCTACTTGTCAAATGTCCAGACCAAAAGACCTTTGGTTATGTAGAAAAAACAAGTAAAAGGAAAAGAGGAAAGAAAGCTATTGTTTTTTTTTGTTTTTTTTTAATCACACGTGTTATATGACAAATGTACCGGTTATCAACTTTTTGGATTCCTATGTTTTTCTTTTTTTTTTAATCACACGTGTTATATGAAAAAAAAATACCGGTTATCAACTTTTTGGATTCCTATGTTTTTCTTTTTTTTAATCACACGTGTTATATGAAAAAAATACCGGTTATCAACTTTTTGGATTCCTGATGTTGAAAGATATTGTTGGTATCCAATTTTTAAGTATGAAACACAGACTCGTTTTAGAACTATGTACATTAACGTGTTAAAATGGATTTGTTTTTAATTCGTAATACAATTTCAAATACTTTTCTGCTTAAACTTCAATAGATAGAATAATTCGTTCCTGCCATAGTGAAATATTCGGTATCAGAATAACAGTTTGAATATGTTGCACACGATGATGATTTAATTGTATAGTGCTCCAGGAGGACTTGTATTACCGTACCTTGAACACCCACACGTGTGTAAGTCAAAGAGGTCACGTTTGTCATAAAATTAATTCTGAAACTATGTAACTATTCCTGATTTAATCTTCCTATATCCATACCTTTATGCATTTATCTAGTTTTGAAATTCCAAGCGGGGACCGATGCTAATGTTAAATCTCTATTGATGTTGACCCTACCATTATAACTATATGATTGTACTTTTATATTTTCGTCAATAATCGTACATATAACCATACCTGTACATAACCCACTTGTCTGATTACATTTATTTTCTTTACAATTGGACGGGCAGCTTGTGTTGCAGAAATCACCATAATATCCAGGTTTGCATGCTTAAATAAAACAGAGCCTCAGCAGTCATTTGAGACTTAATACATACATCGTTCACTTTACTTTACCAACAAAAGGTAGATTAGGTATATGATGGTCAAACTAGACTGACAAAAAACGCAGGCTTGAATATAAAATAAATAAGCTTTTAAGAAAATTTCTCTTCATAGAAAAAATACAATTGTATCGTATCTATCTTCAAGTACATTTAGAAATCAATCAAGCATATGAAATGTGTATCAACAATTCGAATTCTTTACTTTGAGCATACAAAACGAAAATCTAAATACATCTGATTCGATTTGTAGATTATAATTACATCAAGCATTTATTTCTGCTAAACTTTCAATAACAAAGTCACCATACCTGAACTTTTCCCTTGATTTTGTGTGCATGTGTTGTTTTCACAATTTGAGAAACATAACCGATCACACTTCACCCCATAGAAGCCGTTGAAGCAAGCTGAAAGTACACAAATATGTGAAGCTAAACTTCGTTTTTTTATTTCAATCGTTTCCATGTGCGAAATATTGATTACGAAAATATTGTTAAGATTTTACCTAAGCTTGAGTAAATCAACGTCTTTTGGTGTGGGGAGGCAGGGGTAGGGAAAATCAGGTGTGTAAAGGGATGCAGAGCGGATACGGCCAGCGTAATGGGAAGCAAAGCGGATTATGGCAACATATACTTGCTTGCTATTTTTTCATCTTCTATAATCGTCCTATATGATACCAAATACTTTTACACAAACAATGCACGTATTAAACGTGTCGCAACGTTTCAAGACCGACTAAACCATTTGTAAAGCTATTACTTAGTGAGATGGTTATATTGTTTACCTGTACAACGATGTAGGGGAAATTGTATATTGTGTATGTCACTCGACGAAATCAAACTTTGATATCACATATATTCCAAACTGATTAATCTTATTGAAGTTATTGTCCTAGAGCTTTGTAATATTGTATGGAAGTAAAACACTAGTATTGATTGCAAACTTATATGAAAGATAGGAAATAATTATAACCATTCATCTGTTTAATTTGTATGTAAACATTAGTTTTGTAAACCTTTAAATATCTATGAATTGCGCTCAAAGCAGCCATGGATCATGGAAAGGGCTCCACATAAGACGCATCTTACGACATGCATTTGGATAAATCATGTCACTTTTTTCTCTCTACCTATGCAGGTTAGCCGTTTCCATAGTCTTTATATATCCTAGGCATAGTTATCTCAAACATCCATAGAGTTTTAGAGCATAATGCACATATATGCAGTGAACATATAGAAGAAGCGTGTCTAAATAAGCTTTGATTGACTGTAGTTAATAAATGGGTTTTTTATAAAAAAAAAAAAAATATCGATGCATGCTTTAATTAAACATTAACAATAACCTGTTACAGCGACAGTGATATATATCTTATATACTCTCTTACACAGCTGAATGTTTTTCTTTATTGCAATATAAAGTAATGATGCATACGCAAGTAAAGGACAATAATCACAATATGATTCCATTGACAATTGGATCACACATTTAAACTTAGGAAAATAGGTTATAAGATATAATGAAATATAAGCCATCAGTGAGTAGATCAGGTGCTTTTTTGTAATACTTACGACTACAATTTCCGGATATTTTGTCACAAACACGATTGGGACAACCGACAGAGCAGTTATCACAGGACGATCCGAAGAATCCATCCTCACAGTCTGGCCAATGCAAAATCAAAACGAACTTTATATATTTTCCTATTGACATTTGACGCACATATTAATATACAAAACAAACCTATCTCATATAGAACAACGTTGTACTGTATGCATGTCATGAATATAAGTTAAGAATCGTCTTGTTTTCAAACGCAATGTCACCTCAATATGATGTAATCAATTTTCATTTTGATGATGGGTAAATATACCATCACTAAATCATATTCGGACCTGATATTTAACAGCCATGTTGTTACGTTTCTTGCTCACTATTACCAGAATGTGTTTAAATCTCATACTATTTTTTTCTGTTTTGTGTTCTTTCTGCATATTTTATCATGTCCTAGATTACCTTTCTAGATTCGCAAAGATCATGTTAATTTTACCGAAAACCTACGTTAGTTTTAATTTTTTAGACGTTATAAAAAAAATCCAAATGTTATCAACATTTTTTTGCTTTATCTATGTTAACATGACACATACATTTGTGAATTATATATAATTTCCTAACTAATCCTTAAATAACACATTTCTCTACACGTTTTTCATACTTTCCAGTGATGCATACCTTCACACTCTCCATTGCTTTGCATACATCGGTTGTCTTTACAGTTGAACAGGCAAGTCTTATTACAATGGTTGCCATGATACCCGGGAGTACACACTTTCATGGAAAATCACAAAGAACAAGTCAGAAACCGAAACATGATAAGAAGCTACATTTTCCTTATGTAAGTTTTAGGTAATTAATTGTTACTGATAATGAACTTGTACTCAATGATGCTTAAAACATGTTTATTTCAAAACACAACTGAGCAAGAACAGTTGTTTATTGTGAACCGAATCTTATCAATTTATTATAAAAAAAATCATAATATAATTTCATGTACTTGATAAATATATATCAGCAAATAAAACCTCAGAAGTGGTATAATTTTAAAATTTGAATGAATTTGTGTCCCCACAGCCAATACATTATATTTTATGACAAGAAATTAAATTAACACAAAATGTAAACAAAAATATCCATATAAATGTTGATTTAAGCTGAAGTACATGGAATCACTTACCAGAACAAACACCGGATTCTGCATTACATATGTTATCATAACAATTAGAGGGGCATTCCACACATAAAGATCCAGGCCTATAGTATCCAACTGCACAGTCTAAAAATAATATTAAATATGTACATAATGTATACATTTATAAGACGTATTGTCTACAATGATTTTAGAATTATGTGGCGATATTTTATATAATAAGTAGAAATGGATATTGAAGACTGCTTACCATATGCTGATTTACTTGAATAAGAAAATGTTATAATGTTATAATGAGCATGATATTATATTGTTTACATGATAAACATATATATATGTTATCACTGCACCGAAAGCCTATACGATGCCAAAGCAAAGACAATACACAGTATGTTGAATCAAGTTATGAGCACGACATACACTCTTTGTTAATACTTAAAATGAGTTTTATCTCAACGGTTCTCGTGAATAGAAAAATGAATGATAAACTGATTTGTTTTCTGTCGTTCCACAGGTAAATTACATGTTGTACTTTTTTCCAGTATTAATATATTTAGATGCATGTACTTACATGCACATCCGCCGGTCAATGGATCACACAGGCTATTGGCACAGCCTACATCACAATCTGAATCACAATTACCATCACCATATTTCCCAAGCGGACAACCTGAAATATATTAGCATACAAGTTTGGAAATATGCCCATCTGTTATCATTTAAAAAATAAAATAAAATATATTTAACCAATTTGTATTGTTCTATCATTGGCCAAATACCTTGGATGTACACAATTCTGTATATGTTTCATCTTCCACAACGTTATAACTTCATCGATTTGTGTTAACACAAATACAGGTACATACACACAATTATTAAAAAAAAATCATATTGTTAAATATTTAATTTACGTACCGTACACTTCTACCTCACAAAGCTCCAGAATAGCGTTTTCAGAGTACCACCATAGACCTCCTGACCGTCTGTCGCTGTATATCGTCAGGTACTGGGCGCTACCTGTACAGTTGATCTGGGGAGTCAATGACAACGCGGCCGACGTTGATGTTGTGTCTTTATGACAAAGGTAACCGTTCCGCCAATCCGACGTGTTCGACTGGTATACTTGATAGCCACCAAATCGTTGTCGTTGCTGATACACTTGATCTAAATTTGATAAACAATATTATCCACAAGAGCTTATGTGTATATACTGTTTTTACGCAGAACCATTTTCGTGTTTTCGCCAGGAAAACAACCACTGCATGTTCTGTAACAAGCGACCAATGCAGAAACATCATGAGGAATTAGGGATTTTCATTTGTTTTCTCTTTTTTTTTGATAAAACTTCTGCAGCATACATTTTTACGTGCGGTATCGCTATATTTTTATTTCCATTCCAACTATTTTTTGACGCTCTACTTTGTAACACTTTCCTTTTTGCCCTTATCATAGACTAGGTATATTTATCTTGATACAAAAATCAATTTATTTTTGTATCGGTAATGCTTTTATTACGTTCCATTAAATTGATATATCACATTAAAGCATGTATAAAGGGAAGACTGATTGATTACATGTTGGTTGTTCTCATCAGCATTTTTTTTTTAATACAAGTGTCCCTAACAAAGATTGTCTTTGTCACATCTCCTATCCGTAGGTACATGGACAGAAATACATACACATGTATCGACCGTTGACGTGTGTTGACGTATACACCGAGACCGAGTCAGAGCACTTGAGGTTTACGATACCAGTAGTATACACAACAGTCCGTCGTTAAGAAACAATAATTCAATCATGGTCTATATAAAACAGTCGTATGAAAACCTCTGGTGTAGAGACGATTAATTTGTCAGAATGTCGACTATATGGAAAGCATTACACATAACATAGACAACCTGATATGTGTATGGTATACGAAATACGTCATTGAATGTACATTTTGCTTTCTAGGTTATTACAGTTGTGTGACCGCTCAACGCATCACAAATAGCGTGCGCACATCGTGCATACGTCGTTCACACATCGTCCGCATATCGTCCTCACATGGTGCGTACAACTGTGCGATTTAAAAAAAAATCGTTCGCCCCCTTGTGCGCCTCTCTTCGCACAACTGTGCGATTTGGTACAACTTGATCAATATTACGGAATGAAAAGTAAATCGAATGCTCGCATACATTAATGTAGACTGTATATATTACTGTAATTTCTTATCACAATAATTAAGTTTATGTACAATTTTACTCTGCGTGTTACATAGTATTACAGTGACCGTTAGACTGTCAATAATGGCTTTGGCTCCATGGTAACAGAACAGCTAAATAACAATTTGATGAGTGACCGGAGTTTTACCTGGCCTGTGCTTGACGGGTAGACCAGATATGTGATGCCATATGACCGTTATGAAAACACAACTGGACGTTTATTATTTGTTATTTACATTCGGTTTGGCCCATAGCTCACTTTCACCTGGATTTTCACACCCCGACGAGTTACGTTATTACCCCGGGCGAGGGGTCCAGGTACATGTATCAAGTGCCTATGTTTATACAGGACTGTGTTGCAATTTAAACATGTGTCGATAAAGGGCGTTTAAAAAAACACCGAAAACACAATTTCTAAATTTATGAAAGTTTTAGACAGAATGATAAGCTTATAGAGGACCATATGGAAGAATAGCCTTTGGCTAAACATGTATTTTATCCTCAATAAATAAAATGTATTATTATAAGTAGTAGTATTATGTAACTAGAATAAGGAAACACACTTAAAAATCAGGTTTATATGTTTAAACACGAAACCGTATATATTTTTAAGCCAATCCTCAATTTACACCCAACCACGATACTTATCGCAGAACGTTCGTCCATCGTCCATACAAATGTGCGCAAGCAATGATCGTCCACTTTTATATCGTGCGTACATCGTGCAACACATCTTTCACACACCGTGCGCACATCGTGTACACACCGCACGTCGTGTAACGATGTAAGAACCCAAAACTTTGTGTTAAATGATGTCAAGCTATCCTCGTTGATTTTACCATTATCGGGGTGGGCCTAACGGGCCGTTTAACCATGTATAGCTAAAAATAAATGTAATTCATTACATAATTATTTAAATATCGTTTTTGAATGTCAATAATCTGTATTCCGGGATCAAAGACTTCGCAATAACCACAGCGATCTGAATACTGGTGGGATGGGGATGGGGTGGAGTTACATTAGTCGTTGTTCGCGACATGCAGTTAGACAACACAGTGTTGTCTAAGGTCATGAACAACACGAGAAACTTAAAACCAGAATTTTGTTTTATTGTTGAATACAAAATCAAAATATTTGATTACTCACCTCTGTAGTATATTTTAACGTATTCCATAACGATCAGTCCCTCTAGATCTACTTGCCACCATGCCTCCTTTTCACCCATCTTTGTATGTGAACAACACTTTTGGCTGTCGAAGATTTGTTTTTTACAACCATCTACTGATTTACCACTACGGTATGCAGCACTGTGGTTTGAACTTTGAGTGGTGAATTTGACATTTGGCTCACGACTGGTGTTAACTGTAAAATAATGAGTTATGATTGTATATCTAAATATATCTATATCTGACTGATCTAAAGTACTAAACATTGTCAATAGTATCAATGTGTTGATGGTAAAAGCAAGTATCAAAAGAAAGAAATGATAATCAGAAATTAATGGAGAACGGCTATGAATGAAGGTAATAAAGGGATCAAATAAACCAACAACAACAACAAAAAATTGGATAATTTCCTTTTTAACTTATGTTTGACTTTTGATTGAAACTGCTAATTACAATTATTCAGCCATAAACGAAAAATAAACAGTTATCACTTATGAAATACGCTGATGTAAGTGCATACCCTCACGATAAGCTTGAAAGCGTTAGCTAATTATGGTTTAATACTTTAATCTTGCTTGTAACAAGCATTTTCATTGGCTTTACAATTTGTAATCAGCCCATAACATAAAAAAATGACGTCGCCGTGTGTAACGTTGCTTTTGATTGGCTGATACAGCAGCACAATAATTTCTAAGAGAAAAAAGTCCATCAATATAAGTGGATTTCCACAGGGATTGTGTATAGTAGATGAAATTATAAGGATTCACTTGTATTCTCATCATAAACCGCTTCGCGGTTTATTTAGAGTACACTTCTTTTTTTTGTGTTATATCTCCATAACATGAAAAATATGTTCACGTTGTTCCTTCAATAATGATATTGAAAACGTGAGATCAGGTAATAATAGCAAAAATGTGAGTAAAGTAAGAGAGAAAATAAAAAGCCGTAGTTGTTCGTGTAAGCACGGCATGAAGACAACCGCGATAATATGTATCTCTGCAAATCAAAATTGCAGACGACGTTACTGCAAACCCAGTAGGTAGTAAACAGAGGCTAAAGATTGGAATTGTGGGATGATATGTCTTATCTTAATACCACTGTTATTATAATCGTTGTGAGTTATAATTGCTATCATGGTAAAAGTAAGTTAAGAAAACAAATTGAGAAAAAAGAGAACTCAATTATATCTGATTCGACAATTTTGTCCGCAAACATTGTCGCCCTAAAGAAGTCATTGACCATGCCCCCCACGAAAATAATTTGCACAAAAATAAAATAAATGTTGAATCATTAGAAACAAAAATGAGAAGATAACCTCAAGATTTTTTCCAGAAAGATACATTTAGATGATTTAACATAAGACTTACGTACAGGGTGGTATGGGTAATGTCTGCAAAGGCGCCGTGTCCACACGCACAATTACAACATAAACTTTTCTCACTAGTTTTATTAAAAACAAAAAAAAAGCACTTGACCTCACGTATTCAAGATGAATTTTGTACAATAGCAAGCCTTCGGTTACACGCTAACCGAGGTGATATCGATTACAACAGCATGCTTTACATACTTAACTACTCTGTTTTTTTTCTTTTTTCTTTTTCTATTATTGTCTCATAGTGACTGTTGATCTCTGTTAAATGTTATGATATGCATATGCCATGTTTCCGTCTGGAAAAAAACGGTATCGATGTCTTCACTGCCGTTACTACGTCTTTGCCGATATATCTTTTGAAGTTGTTCGGATCCAGTATCTGAATTTGACAATACTGTCAGTATTACTTATGAGACCTATAGGACAAGGAATTAATGTACACAGTGTAAACAATATGAGGTCGTAAGATTTTCGGTGATATCTGCACCTTTAAAACACAGAACACTTACCTTACGTAAACACCAAATATATATAATATGATACTTCTAATATATAAAGACAATAAGCCGCTCGGTTAATGTATAACAATAAGTTGAAGGTGGAATATATTGGTTCATACCGATTATGAAAGACTGATGTTTTACTGTCATTGGCTTGCGAACAGTGTTGTAAAATCATATCAATCGCTCTACCAATGTGTATACAATAGAAATAGCAATACCGGAAATCGCCATTATATAGCAATATTGTCTATGTACATATCCTGAAATAAATGCATATCGATTGATACTACACAACAACTCAACGCGGAAGTTTAAAACATGAATATCGGGTACAATCTATATACTTACCCCTACCTTCTATACAAGCAATGCGTTCTATATTAAAACACATGGGGCTTATGCTACGGGATATACATGTAGGTCCAGATCAACGTGACGTATATGTTTACTATTAGAATGAAGAAAAACCGAAAATGCACATCCAATCATACCTGATGTGTTGACAATCATTAAAGTTGATAAGAGACACAGAACCTCCAGCAGCCAGATAGTACACACCTCCATTCTACATATCCTGCGTATCGTATAAAGCAGGAGATTTGTGTCTGTTTTATTTCAAGCGCACAGGTATCCAATGAGGAAGTAAACGTTCTGCTCTACTAAACTACAACATTGCACGGTAATTTGATAAGGTTGCAGTGCATTTTTCATTTTATTTTTATTTTGTTTTGTTGCCTGCCGTTAACATGTCTAAACTTACCTGGATATATTGTAGTTTTCGACTGGCACATACTTAATATTTGTCGACGGCATCATGTACATTCTGATTATAAATCGACGGGTTTCGTTGGCAAGGAAAGCTAATTCATTATTATGAGTATTATGTAATTCAAAATGGAAGGACATTTTATTTTCAGAAAAAAATGTGTATCGGTAAACCTGTCTTCTGTTTTCCCCTATACAGCTTTAACTTACATGTTTCTCATTGTCCCTTTTTCTAGCTATATAACCGACATACGAAACTCAAAACGAGGCATATTGTTGGACAGAGCTAATTAGTACATCACATGATAATGAAGAAATATGGTCCTGCTGTAGTAGTGAACATATGTTCATTTTATTGTTGTGGTGTCATTTTATAATGGATTTAGAATAAGCCTTTACTACACATGTGCCTGAAACAGAAACTCTATTAAATCGAAAGGAGGGGTGCTCATGTCAACTCATACGCCGGCCATAACTGGTATTTTAGCATAAATGCTGTAGTGTAAATAGTTTTGTGAATATTATTCCTTTTAAGAAATGTGTATACCTTAACCATGCCTCTGTCCTTCTTTTCATTAGAGCTAATCATGTTTAAGAATATAAACAAGACGACGATAAAACAAATAATCATTTTCAACACATATAGCCTAAACAGTTGAGTGTTATCAACAGATAATCTGATATGTCGATATAAAATATTTAATAGGTCTCGCGTGTCTTCTATAATTAAACGTCGGTGGGAATATTATTGTAATGTTCATAACACGTTACTGCAGGTAAATATAAACCGCGGTGTGTCCTCATACAAAATATACCGGGTTCTTTAGAAAACGATCTCTATGAATAAACTATAAAAGTAATACTGTAAAAGGCTATGCGTGTAAGGTATTCATCATTCCTAGTCATATACAATGTAGGATCAGTTTAGTACTGCCAATACTTCTGTCTCGATTGTGTTCTATATAATGCGTTTTTTATTGCGTGTGGCCTGAGCTCTACGTAGATAACATATATGTAAGTTAAGAAATATTAATAAGTAATTTGCCTAAAAAAGTAAAAAGTAAATTAAATTGTACAGTAGTATTAGTTGTGAAGGCTCCAAATCATTGCATCAAATCCTAATTTACATACAACTTTTAAATGTGTTAACTGTCATGTATTGATATCAATTCAATTTATCGCAAAGGTTTCTAATTTGAAGGCATGCAAATGTGATATGTATTGTCCTTTTTGCAATTGTATTTCATAATTATCTTTTTTTTAACTTTGACACTGTGTGCCCTGTTACTACTACAGACCACTGACCTTACAGGTACAAACGTCGCAATGATGGTTCGCTGACCCATTTTACTGCTGCTGTGTGTGGTATCCATAAGTGTCAACAATTCAACACCAAGTTTAAAAACATGTTAGAGGGGAGGGGGAGGGGACAGGTATTGATTGGGCAGTTTAATACACGCACACATAATCATTTAAATTAGATAAGCTTGCTACGCTCGGAATAAACATAAAACATGATATAATATTTACATTTCAACTGCACAGAGCCTAGATGTTTCTACTGGACCAAAAGTTTGTTATTTCCGTTTAACATACACTGGGCCATTGTGACGTCGCTACGCTTATGACGTCATAACTGCAAAGTTGGAGATTGCTCTGCTCCACTGTCAACTGGTGGCTGTTCTCTGTATGGATTTACCCTGACGTTGAAACGTGTTCAGACTATTATTGTGTCTTTATTTTTGCTGAACTGTAAGTTGATCAACATAAAATGCAAATATAACTATTGGTTGTCATATTTTTGACATCCATTGGTGTGTAACATACACCAATGCATGTCAAAAATATGACTACCAATCCTTAATTGATTTCCCCATCAAGATGACAGTGCGTCATATACGTGTTACATCTTGATACGTCTCCGAGTGCGTACACCAAACGGGGCGTAAATATGTTACATTATATCAATATTGAATCCATCGAAGGGATGGGTGCTCAGGGTTTTCAAGCGAGCGACAATTCAATAAACCTTTGCCAAACATATTTCCTCTGATTTAAACATATTATTACCACAAGCAAAATGTAAAATGTATTAAGCGGGTCTAAAATTCCGTGAAACAAATGATAACAAAAGTACAAAAAAAAACAACACCTATAATATAGCAAGGTTATCTTCACAAGATAAATCAGTGTACAGAAACACTGTATTATTAAATCGAATAAATATTTAATAAGTTCGTAATAAACCTATCTTGCAATCCCTGTCGTTAAGACACCGCATCACGTTTCAATAGTCCTGATAAAATATCTTTTGTTAAACATGTTTAAAAGAGAAAGCATAGCATCCATCTTTTGCCGGTCATAATCTATAAATCAATCATGGATATTATAAAATGTTATGTGTATAATGTGGTCTAATAACGGTGAGATGCCCTATGCTATGTGAGCTAAAAGTGTCATCTTGACACGTGTCACAAAACCCGCACAGAAAAAGAGGACAACTTCATCTCAATTTTACTGATTTGGTTAGACTACATGTATGCCATCTGAGAAAGATACGTTTTTTGTGATAAAATATGGTTCAACCCCTTCAAATAGATCGACTTCATTAAAACCCGGGTTAGTCCATTGTTCTATCTGAGGGAGATAAGTGTAACGTTTGCCTGTGTACAGATTTACAGAAAAAGTATAGATACTTTCTGTCCGGTATTTCAGTAATGACATTGACAAACACAGGGGATAAAATTCATGTGGATATTTGATTATGAGAAAAAGCAAACAATGTATTTACCGATGACATATGCACACATTCCTGTATTACAATACTTTTAACGGTTGGTAATATTTAATGGGATAAAATAATATATCCGTCAGTCTTGAGAATTACACTGTGCCAGTATTTGACCAGAGTTCCAGAACCAGGAAGAGTTGTTTCCCTTTGCTCGATAAGTTTAGAACACTATATCGGCTAAGTCTGAAACTTGGTCTAGACATGCGTAGTTTGGTGTAGACGAGCGACGTTGGGCGAACATCATCGCCAGCTAGCCCAAAAGTAATCAATTTCATTTCATTTTTTTTTTATTTATGATGGTGTATGAATGGGATCAACAACAGGTTATGCCTATAACAGTTCTCCCATACATGCATTTGTATGAATCAGCATATATGAAAAACTGAAAAAAAGGACACAACTTATATACAAAACAAATATAAATGTGCAAGTCATATGGTAAAGGGGAGATAACTCAAACTGCTTAAGGAAGTTCAAAGTCTAATTGACCTAAGCAATATTAAGAGTATTGAGTGAATATTTGACATCTTTCTTCATTAGATCCTCCCTGTCAGTTCAACAACATCAATACAGAGTGACTCATTGATAGATTGCTTCCCAACCTAAAGAAAACATTCATATCCTACCAATAACCCTACACTAAGCAATCTATACCGTAGAAAACGACAGGAAATTCTTTGTATTGCTGCGTCGGTTTAATGTAATGACCGTCTGGATAATGGAGGGAAAATTGTCGAATCTGTGATGCAGTATTCGTTTACTTCTCAGAAGACGTTAGCGAATTCATTGACTTCGACATTGTAACAGTCCTAACGTAAACAATATTTCAGTTGAGAACTTCATGGAAACGCTTTAAGTCTTAAACAAAATTTAACTGAACATGTAGTTAACAGCAGTAAGAATGGTATTCATAATGCAAAGTGACGATACTTTTCCACGAAAGATTGAAGGTATTGAGAGAGTCATACAGCAAATGGGTTTGGATAGTGAATTTAAAGAAGATTATGCCAGACGATGGGCAACACGACAGATTGCTGAAAAGGACTTACTATCAGACTGGTTTAAATCTATTATGTCCATCATTCAAAACTTGGCATACATGTCTTGGAATGCAAATGAAAACAAAACACACGTCTGACATCCTGTTCCCTACGTACAAGCCACACCAAACGATCTGGATCATAAGTTCTGGCTGTGTCAGCAGACAAAGTATCATTAATACTTTGATATTTGCCTGCATTTCCAAAATGCAGAAATAACTTATATGTATTATTGGGTGTATATTTCCGTGTTGTAAGATATTTTTTTGCACAGACCAACAAGGAGATCACCAATCATACTTTATTATCTAAACATCAGCGTTCAATGTCCACTACAAATATCCATGGAAAATGATAAAAAATCGAACAGATTACAGACAATATGTGCGTGATAGCAGTGAGAGACGTGATTTCCAAAAACAAAAAATCTTTCAGGGGGTTTAGAAATGAAAACAGTTATAACACGGCTGAAAGTAAAATAGAATAATGCGAGTGCGATGATCAGTATGCCAAACAGAGATGTCAGACAAGGTATTGGTTACATGTATCGGTCAATTCAAGGGTGCTATTCGCGGATCATTGAGACGTGATTTGATATTAGAGGCATCTACCATAGAAAATACCGCAAGATACATAGGAAGCGTAGAGTTTGGAGGATTTTATGCATTTGTTGCCAGAACAACCATTGTGTTGAGCAAATAGTACATGAGGAATGGGATACCGTAATCTAAGTTGTAAACAGTGATGTCTGATGGGACTTATAACAAGGAGGGAGAAATGTAGCGGAACTGGACCGGATCGATCGTCAGCGACCAGATGGCTCAATTGTCATGCCGTCCGTCTATTAGGTCGGAGGGTCCTTGGTTAAAAACCCGGTCTGGGCTGGTATTCTCTCGCTTCTAATGCTGCTCTAGAAACTTGTATGCACTTTGAAATATCAGAAATATAAGGAAATATCTGTATTTACGTCAAAAATATCGGAAATTTAAAAATGCATATACATGTATAATGATTGAAGGGTAATTGTTTA